TTGATTGTGTTTGTGTTTGTGGTGGGGAGTTTGGGGTTGTAGTGGTCTCAATTTTAATTCAGAAAGCAGTATTCAAGTGAATTCTGCACAACAGAAAAATACCAAATTTGAAGAAAATCTAGGACACTCATTCGTATAACTTAAATTTCACCATAAGCTAGGGAATTAGATAGTACCAAACTACATGCTGGAGCATCAGGGACAAATCCGAAGAGATTCTTTCTTAGTGATGAACTACCATTGGGATGAAGGCGATTCATGAATGTTTGAGGGGAAGAGTCCAGTACAAAATAATGTAATCAAACAAAAGAGGAACAAAAGAGGAAAAATTTAGAATGAGATCAAGCTTTATGTGCTGGGCCATATTGGTGCAGATGAGAAAGTCAGTAGATAATATTGTGACTAATGCCTTATAGGGGTATCCAGACCCATTCCGGAATTTTTACTTTTTTTAAGGAAGATAAGCTTCGAGCTAACATCTGTTGCCAATCTTCCTCTTCTTTTGCTTGAGGAAGATCAGTCCTGAGCTAACATCTGCATCAATCTTCCTCTAATTTGTATGTGGGTCTACACCACAGCATGACTTGATGAGTGGTGTAGGTCTGTGCCTGGGATCTGAACCCATGAACCTGGCTGCCAAAGAGGAGCATATGGAACTTTAACCACTCAGCCATGGGGCTGGCCACTCCATTCCTGAAACTCTTGATTCTAGATGGAATTGACCTTATGCAATCCAAAAACCCAGCAGCAAAGTCTGAACCAGTGACTGCTGAAAGAGACTTACCCACAAACTGCAGTGGATAGAAAAAGAATCTGAGTAGCCTCTTTCAGAATGGGCTTAGAGCATTCTGTGTATAACTGTATGTAAGTCTATAACTAGATCCTTCTATATGTGACAGGGAAGATAGATGCAGCAAGCATCAAGAAATTTTCTAACTCAAATTCACAAGTTTTCTTATATTATTTTTTCTCAAAGCATTCCTTCATAAGGAAATAAATTCTTTCATAATATGATCACTATCTCTGTCAGGTAATTCAGTATTCTGTTATTAAAGCATGCATTTACAAACAGTTCAAAATACACAATTAAACATTTTAAACTTAGAAAACTAAGATTAGTTGTGAAAGAAAAAACTGAACTTAAAAGGAAGAAATATAAATTATAATCTAAGTGAATCCATAAATAGAGCAGAATGTATTTACACTGTATATCTATTGTTGAGGAAAAAATATACTTGTGTGATTTTTCTTCCCATTCAAATAGACTTCCATTTGAAATCTCAAAATTCTTTTGTGTTCTTATGCTGAATGGTAAGTGCTTTGTATGACAGAATTCTTTTATTCAAAAAGTATGGTATTATTTGATATTTCTGAAATATCCCTTATGCTTTTAGGCAGATACCAGACATACTAAAACACTTGAGTTTTAAAATAACTGGTATTATAAGGAATAGGCACAAATTGAGTATCTAAAATGCTTCATCGTTATTTTTGCTGTGAACAGAATCAGCTTTATAAACTCAGAGCCTGTTTCTTTTGGGCAATTATCATGAATACACATGAATTGTGTTCATTTTCCATTTATGCTGCAAATAGTCAATACCAGAACTGCAGAATAACAGCTTAATCAACATACTTTAATGGTCTTCATTCTCTTATGTCTAGATTTTCCTAAGCCAAAATTATTTATATAGTTTATATCAAAATTAAAGGTGCAATAATGGGAAACTTTTTTTGATGTTTTCTTTCATTGTAAGTAAAAACTAAATATTGGAATCCTCTAACTTACAAAGAGGGTCACATTTCAAACAGCCGTTTTAAAGTCGGGTGGGAGGAAATAAGAAAGCATTTTCTTACAAAAATAGCAGTTAAGCATCATAGCTGATTTGAAGGGAATAAAGAAAGTGAAATTTCTAGCATACCAGGATTTATGACCAGAAATGTACACTCTCTCGGTAGAACAAGGTTTTCCCTCTCTGTCACCCCACTTTTTTTTCATTCATCAGTATATTCCTGCTTCTTCCTATCTTCAAGGTGGTTGAGCAAGGTTGGAAGGTGAATTGATAGTCTGTCTGCCTCTAGTAGATTCAGGACGTAGATTCTATCAATGGATTATGTTGAATTCCAAGCTCCAAGGAGTCCAGCCATTAATAGGTACAATTAGCTCTCATAGAGCTCAAATTCCACTCAATTGAGACAGATAATAAATACAAATACGATAAATTGGCAGATCATGACAGAAATAGATCAAGGAGATGTGGCATAGACATACTAAGTGAACTCTTTAAATTGAGTGGTGAGGAAAGACCTTTCTCAGGGGATGACATTTAACCTTGAGCCGGGAGGATAAGAAAGACTTCACTAAGTGGGATGAAATAAGTATATCTGTGGAACTTAAAGGCTGGTAGCTTAAACCTAGTGACAAGTGCTGAAATGATATAATATCAGGAAGAAGCACATTCTGTATACATTTGCAAGCCAGGATATGGGGTTTGGATTTTATTCTAAGTACCCTGGGATACAAGTGAAGGTTTTAAAGTAAGTAAAATGGTTAACCTTTGAGAAGATCACACTTGCTAGAGTTAGCCCAATAATGAAGGCCTGTTCGCTTTTCTGTTATTTTCTTTGCGTTTCCTCCCTTTTATCCTCCATTCTTTCTTTTCTGTGTTTCTTTTTCCTTTATATTTATAAACAGGGCAGACTTTAGAATTAAATTTGATAATGTGACTTATGAACAAGCTGTATAACTGAATTTCTCAAATTTAAAATATTCCCTAATGCATGTAGTCATCCATTAATTTAACAAATATATATTGAGTATGTTATCTAAGTGAAGACTAATCTAGATACCAGGAATAGAGCAATGAATATGAGAAACAAAGATTCCTGTCTTCAAGGGGGGGAAACAGACAATAAAAATAAAAAATAACTAAAACACATAGTGAATAAGATAGTGATAAATGTGAGGAGAAAAATAAAGCAAAGAAGATAGATGTGGAATGTTGGGGGATGGTAGGAAGGCTTCGATTTCATACAGGGTTGTCAAAAAAGGCCCATTGAGAAGACGATGTTTCAGTAAGGACTGAAGGATGAGGAAGTGTACCTTGTATAAACCTGGGTCAGGAGACATTCAGGCAAACAAAAATGAAAATACACACACTGTGAGCTAGAAATGTTATTGCTGTGTTTAAGAAGAGCAAGAAGTCTGCCTACATAATCCCAACACCAAATCATGAAGAGCCAAGAAAAGCACTGCAAGAATTTTAGTTTTGCATTGAGAAAATGGGAGACTTAGAAAGTTTTGATCAGAATAGTAATAGGATCTGTCCTAATTACTAACAAGATCACCATGGCTGCTTTTTGAAAATAAATTTAAGAGAAGGGCAAAAGCAAAAGTAAAGAGATCAGTTATGAGATATTAAATAACAAAAGCAAGAGATAAAGGTTGCTCGGAAAAAGTGGTAGCTTAGAAGAGAGAGGTAGCAGATTCTAAATATATTTTGGAGGAAGTTCCTATAGAATTTGTAGAGGAATTGGATGTTGGATGGGAGTAAAAGAAAAGAATCGATGAGGATTCCAGTTTTGAGCCTAAGCAATAGAATGGAAAGAATTGTCTTTAATGAAGAGGAGGAATGTGAGAGAAGCAGTTTTATTTATTCAGAGTAAGGAGCGGAGGTAGACTAAGGACTTTGGTTTTGAACATGTTACGTTTGGAAAGCCTATTAGATACCCAAGAGGAGATGACGTTTAAGCAATTAGATGAATGACCAAAAAAGAAGTCTTTGTATAAGTAGTATTTGGAGTCATGATAGAAGTGGAGGTTATTATGAAAGTAAGTGTAAAGTAAAAAGATGCAGGAATACATCTTTGGGACACTCTAAAATATCAAGGTCTGGCGATAAACAGGAAATTTTGCAAAAGGGAGAGAAAATGAGATTGATCCAAAGTAAAGAATAAGAATGTTGTACATTAGAACAGAAGTCAGAAGGACATGACCACAGTGTTGTTTGCTATAATAGGTCAAGATTGATTCACACTAATAATTGAAATCTGGATTTTGTGAGCTTGACAAGGACATTTTAAGGGAATGTTAGAATGAAATAAATGCTTGGAGATGCTTCAGCAGAAAATCAGAAGAGAGCAAGTGGAGACATCGACTATAGACATCTCTTTTGAGGTATTTTGCGCTACCTAAAAGAAAGAAGGAGAATCTGTGAAAGATAATAGAGTTTAAGAGAGAGCTTTTTTAATTTCAGTTTTTAGTGGAAAATAGAAAAATTTTTATGATCATGGGAAAAATCTATGAGATAAAGAATCGTAGAGAATGCAGGAACAGAAAAAGAGAAAGCTAAAATAATGTCCATGGTCTGGTAAGCAAGGGTGGCAGCTGCTGTACACAGGAGCAGAAAATTCTTCCATAGTAACAGAATAGGCTAAATATATGAAACCAGATGCAAGCGCGAGGGGCAGTTATGGTGGAGGGAAGTTATGAGAATTCTCTTTTGATTTGATCCATTTTTTTCTCAGTGAAATATACAGCAAAGCCATTCACCTGAGAGTGAGGGTGGGGAAGAGAAGTGCAAAAAGAGTAGAGGTATATAATTATTATCTAAGAGTGTGGGAGGGTAATAGAAGTAGGGAAATAGAGACAGGGAAATAGAGAAGGACTCAGGAACAACTTAAATTTAGTGATCACCGATTCTAAAATGTTCTTTTCTCTAGCCATTTTCAGTTCTCTAAGTGAAGCTTTGATGCTTTCATGTTCTATGTTCTTTATTTCTCCACTACCCAAGAAGATGTGACCATATTTTTTTTGTTGCACCTGTACTTTCTCTTATTTTATACAACACATATTTAATATTTTGGTTTAACAACACTTGTTTCTTAACCTTCAAACATGTCCTGCACCCCATCAATGGCTTGCTGAAAACACACTGTTGCATCATGCCTTTAGTCATAAAGAGTGATTATAATTTGGCTCACTACATTTACAGAAAGATAAAGCACACCTGAAAAATGCCCTCATAAGACCAACTAAATGATCAATAAAGTAAATTAGTATTTTAAGACTAATGACTTCTTCACCGCAAGACAATGGCTAAAAGAACATAGGTTCAAAATGTATAGAGAAATGGTGAGTTGTGTACTTAGTGAATATTAATAATATATATTTTCAAATATTATACAATGGTTATTACATTGTCTACCATATAGTCAGAAATCACTATTAGCGAATATTATTACTAGTAGTGTCATTACTATTATTATTGATAATATATTCATCCCCAGATCTGCTTATTTACTTAGGATTTCTACAGTTATACCAAGTTGCTCTGTGTGTTATCATTGCCAACTCCTCCATTTCCTCATGGAAAGTTTATTACACTAATTATCTACTTTTTCCTCCTCTTTCAGCTTGTTGATTTTGGACCTGCAACTACAATATAGCCTCTTAATTGTTATTACCATCTCTCCTTTCAACTTCTTCAATTCGGCTAACACTGATTGACCAGAGATCTATTGCTAAACTGTGAATCTAAACAAAATTTACTTACTGAATGTACTTGGATGGCTGCCTGTAACCTCCAAAATGTCCTCTAGTGTTGTGTGTGTCTTTTGCTATCATCTCTCAGAATAACCTCACTTGCATCTCATACCCAGGAATGCCAAGCTGCATAAAATAATCAGAAAACGCTGTATTTTTCCTGTTTCTGTGCCAAGCTAATTCTAAAGCATCCCTTCAGGATTAGATCAAGTATTACCTCTGTAAGTCAATCTTCCTTAATCACAGGCAGTTAATACTCTTTTAAAATCATAAAATCACTCATGTTTACCTTTATTTAGCACTTAGGTGATTCTGAGCTCTTTGAGAGAAGAAATCATGTGGTGTATATTTCTAATTCTCTGTATTAAAACAATACTGGTGGTACTACAGAAATATAAGAAACAATTGTGAAATAAGTAAATTAATGAATTAGTGGGCAATGTAATGTTCTTTTGATTATTAAAATAAGCAAACACAGAAGCGATGAAAAGAAAGACTACTCTCAAAAAGTAATACAAACTAATATTATAAAAATACCTAAAGAAGATGTAAAATTATAAATAATATGTCTTTTGGAGAACAATTTAATTTTATTAATTAGGAAACTTTCTGTTTAAGAAGCAGAAACAATAGAGCAGCACATTTTTGCAGACATGCTAATTAGGATATTACAGACAATTAGCAAGTTGAAAAAGTAGCTGACATAGCTAATAACATTAGTGGCATCTAATTCAACATGTGAATAAGGTAAATAGTCCCAAAAGTATAAATATGATGGATCATGAAACAGCCTGATTAGGCTCAGCAAATACTCTAAACTTGACCTACCACAGAACTTCCAGAGCTAGTCAATAGATTCTTAATTATCAGTTTAAATACTTCTAAAATTATGCAGAGTTAATTGTTATTTTAATAAGTATTTTCAGACTAACAGATCATTGCATCCATTTTGGATTTTATTTTAAGGAAATAACGCCTTTGAGAATAACAACGTAGAGATTTTATAAATGGATAAATATAAATGTTATTCAGATGCACAATCACAAATAGGTTCTTACAACATTTTTCTTAGGTGTTAGGGTAATTTTAAAGAAAAGATAGATAGGATTCCACTACTACCCTTTAATGTATTTTTCAGAATCAGCTACGTGTCCAGTGATATTTTTCCGACAATTTTAGCGCCGCCTCGTCTCCTACTTCTTTGCCCAAACCTACTTTTAGAAAGTCCTCCAAATAAAGCCTAAGAAGAAAATATTTTTTTTTCTTTTCCATGATGTTACCAAAATGCTTGTGATTTAATCAGCTATGGTTAAAATCATAAGTGATGCATTCTTTGATAAACAACTAATTTTAAAGGCTTTATGTCATTCCAGAAATATTGTACTGGATCTCAGGTGCAAGCTCTGTCTCCTGTCCTTATATTTCGATGAGCAACTTCCGTTCAACTCCTGAAGAAGAAATAGGTTTTACCAAATATGATTCATCTTCCTTTTTTCCTCTCTCATTCTCACTGAGACTGAAAGTATGATTTATCTGATTTTAAATATTTTTACATTTCTGTTGCTTTATAATTTCTTATTTTTATTCATAGAAATATCTATTTTAAGTGCATTGAGAAAATAGAGAAGTAAAATTATTGTTAACTAGCTATTGCTAATAACTTCATATTATAATTCTTTCCTTATTTTATAAAAATTTTATGCATAGGTCCTGTATTAGTTTCCTAGAGCTGCTGTAACAAAGTAGCGCAAACTGAGTGGCTAGAAAAACAATAGAAATTTATTTTCTCATAGTTTGGGAGGTTAGGAATCCCAAAAGGTGTCAACAGGGCTATGCTCTCTCTGAAAATGGTAGAGGAGAGTCCTTCCTTGCTTCCATCTAGCTTCTAATGGTTCTCAATCCCTGGCTTGCGGTTACAGCACATCCATCTCTGCTTCCATTGTAACATGACCTTCTCCCTTGGTGTTTGTGTCTCTTCACTTGCCATTTTCTCCTTATAAGGACACCAGTCAGATCGGAGTAAGGCCCATGCTATCCTAGTATGACCTCATCATAACTAATTATATCTGAATGGTCTTATTTCCAAATAAGTTTACATTGTGAAGTCCTAGAGGTTAGGACTTGAACATGTCTATTTGGAGAACACAGTTGAACCCGTAATAGGAACCATGCAGTTGCTTTGTGGTTATTACGCCTTTTTTATTGTGGTCAGCTATTTGATGAAGAATTGTGTGAATAGAATGTTTTTCAGGGGGGCTGGCCCAGTGGAGCAGTGGTTAAGTATGCACGTTCCGCTTTGGCAGCCTGGGCATTGCCGGTTAGGATCCAGGTCCGGACATGGCACCACTTGGCACGCCATGCTGTGGTAGGCAGCCCGCATATAATGTAGCGGAAGATGGGTATGGATGATAGCTCAGGGCCAGTCTTCCTCAGTAAAAAAAAAAAAAAAAAAAAAAAGAGGAGGATTGGCAACAGTTAGCTCAGGGCTAATCTTCTCCCCAAAAAACCAAACAAACAAACCAACAACAAAAGAATGTTTTTGGGGTAGGAGTAAACAGGATTACAAATTTCAATTCAGATTCTTTGTTTTAGGTTTAGCTTATGATTTTAATCTTGAGCACACGTTAGACAAAATGACATGTTGTTTGTGCCATGGAAGGGCCCATGATCCCTTCATTTTCAACAACTTTCAAAATGATATTATGCCTAACAAAAAGCTCATTCAGTGATCTGTGTTTTATTTTGAACTTCTTCCTGCTTCACCTCACTTCTCTTCTAACAGTTTACCTTAGGTAGGAGGTTAAGTGGTGAATAATAAAATAGAAGCTTAATCCCCGGCCACTTCAACCCATTCATTTGGAAAGGCTTTTCAGTATTATAAAAACGTACATTTAGAAAAATCTCTGCTCTTGGGTTTTGAAGAACCAGATGCCAATTTTCATCACTTTTACGTTATTCTACATTTTCTAATATTTGGCAATTATGCTTCAAAGTTTGTTGGTGATGATCATGTCACTGAAGATGGAGATGATTTTCTCTCTTTATTCTTTGGAGGTTTTTTTTTTTGAGAGAGAGTGTACTTAAGTATGTTCATCTTTACTTCACTCTTTGTATTGAGGAGTTCTTTACAAATATGATTTATTAAAACTGTTTTTCTGAAATGTATCTTCTATGAAAACAATATTGAAAAATAATACTATTCATGATTTATGTAGTTATAGTAAGACAGAATACATAGTGGTGTATTTTAGTGTTGTTAATGACAAATAGACATTATTTAGAAGTCACATTCAATTAATCCAAATGCTATTAATGGTAGCATGGAATTAATAGTAAAGAAATGTGAGTCATATAATGTTTTTCAAAATATAAAAATATACTGGGTGCATATTACTGAAGCATGAGTATATTATAATCCATCATAAAAGCAATGAACATAATGAGCATATTTGCCTAAAAGAGCAATGTATCTAAGTATTACACTGCTTCTTAAATGTTATGATAATCCTTTTTACTATAAATATAATGACATGTATTCACAGAAGATATACAATAGTCCATCTTGACATTGCTTAAAACAGCAAGAAATTTTAACCAAATTAAATGTCTATAAATAGGAGATTTTAATACATCAATATAATCAAAAACTATGCAACAATAAAGTTTGTATTTTATAAGAACATTTAACGAGTTGGGGATTTTGTAATTATACAGTAAGTATAAAAAGCAATTGAAAAACATTATATAGGATATTCTCTAAATTTAATATTTATAAACCTCAATAAATGTTCTATTAACATATTGCATTCAACAAAAAGTATAGCTAAATATATAATATGGGTGTTTTCTCTGTTCAGTTTTTTTAGTAGACTTTATTTTTTTGAGCAGTTTTAAGTTCACAGCAAAATTGCATGGAAGATAGAGATTTTTCATATACCCATTGGTCCCGGGCATGCGCAGCCCTCCTCGTTATCAACATCATCCACCAAGTGGCACATTTGTTTCAACTGATGAACCTACATTAACGCACTATTATCACTCAGAGACAATGCTTTCTTTTAAAAGAACAATGTAACAGGAGTACTGTTAGCTATATTTTTATTCAATTTGGGTAATATGTTTGAGTTACATGCTGTATATATTAGATAGTCTAGTTTATGCTCTGATAACCAATTAAATATGACATCTCAATTGCTTAACAAGAGAAAATCTTATTTCTCACTCACTTTGTATATTCCATCCTCGATGACAGGTGCAATTGTTGGAGGTGGCACACTAATCCACATGGTCACTCAGAGATTCAGGGTGTTGTGTAAATTCTCCGACATCTCAAAACATGGTCTGTGGTCACTGTTGCACAGAAGAGAGACCTGCAGGAATCATGTCTGTTGTTAAATTTGATTATATCCCATTTACCAGGTTAATCACATGGAATGCCAGAAAATGTCACCTTTCTCTATGCCCAGGAAGAGAAAAATGTGGCAAATACATAGCATTCTGTCTGTGATGCACAGAATATTTGAAATTCATATTGGTGATGCATTCAAAGGGACAGACAATATTTTAACAGAGTAATAATCTGAGGCATG